AAGGACTTCAATATATAAAAAAATATACAGAGTGTAAATAAATTTTTTATTTTTATTTTTTATTTCTTTGATGATATTAAGATAAACTTTAGCTTTACTTAAAGCTTCCAAGTAATTATAAGAGATCTGTTATCATTATTTTCACACTTATAAATCTTATCTAGTGGTGTAGTAATTATATTAATAATTATATTAGATCTGTCATCATTATATTCATACTTTTCATAAATCTAAAGTTAATGTTAACTTTATTTAATTAGATCACATCACTAAGATATTAATCATTTGTCATCACATATATTTGCCCATGATTTTGCCTGTAGATTTCATTCATCCTATTAATAATTTTAAGCATTAAGATCAAAATTCGTTAAAAAAAAAAAAAATTGAAAACTTAAATATTTACATTTTCACATTGTCCAATTCTGTTTTAAATTTGATACATTTTGCTCGTAAACTGTTAACCTTTTCTTGAAGATGTGTCAAACCATTTCGTTTAATTTGTATTTCAGAGACAGCTAACAAAGCACTTGTGTTAGTATATTAAATAGATCCAAATAATTATAAAAAAAGTGTATCACCTTTTTTTAATAAAGCAGCATTACTAAATTTACGATTATAGTAAGTGGCAGAGAGTTTAAGCTCTTTTTGGAGTAAAGCCAAACCGTTGTTAATATCTTCTCGCCTTTCTCTTTCCTCCTTTACTCTAATTTTTCTCTTTTCTTCCAGATATTGACTAATGTTTCTTTTATGTTTCTTAGTGAGTGTGAAATGTCGAAATCTTGTAGTGGTAGCATTATGTTTAGAATAGATATTATTTAATTTCTTTATCACTTATCACTTAATTGAAAGAGAGTAAATAATACCTGTCATCATTAAGGACACTAATGTCAATGAAAAAAAATATTAGAGGTATAATTCAAATAGTTATTAGATAAATTTGAAAGCATTTATACCTGTTAGAATTATTATCTGAAGTTTTAATACTACATATTGAAAAATTATATTGGCATTACTACAAAGATCAGTAATAACAAATTAGATTAAGCAGTTTTGTGTTTAACTAACATACTTGCTCAGAGCGTGGATTTTTGTAACATCATTTCTATTATAGAACCATACAATTCACCCCGTAACAATGTATATAACCAATATTATGATCACTATTCACTGTGATAGTTGAAGACCCTTGGTTTATCATGAAAATTGAAAATATCAATTTTAAACAGCTTTATCTGATGAATTATTTTAAAAGGAGATACCATTATTAAATCCTTAATAAATAATGTAAATGTGTAATGCGTAGGGGTGGTGTTATTTTAATTAGATGTCCTGATTTCCAGATCGGAGATTTTGACCAACACCAATCATATGTTTTTTAAAAGTGTTATAAAACTCTACTTGATTATTTATTAACAGAGAAA